ATCTAGTACCTCTATTAAGCAGAGAAGTGATCAGAACGGGTGGTAGCAGGGTAGAGGGAGAATGAGCCGTGCAGCTTTTGATTAGTTCCGTGCGACGCATTTCCCGTGGTACCTAGAGTTTCCTGAGCAGCATCCGCATAGTGACTCTCTGCACGGTTTGCTTTTACTGGAAATGAGGGGAGAGTAAAAATTAGACCCAGAAGCAAATGCCAGACAGGAAACTTTTGATTACTGACTCGGGGTTTAAAGACAGGTGATCTGAGGGCCAGGTCCATGACAGGATTGTTATGCTTGAGCATTACATTAAAAAAAGGCATCAAGGGCATTTCTGAAATTTGTCTTGCTGAGATCAATCAATGTCGTTACCAGACGTGACACATTCTGCATTGAATTGGTGGCATCAGTTCATCTGCAATTGAACGAATCCTGCAGGAAGATCTTTTTCAACTGCACTGGAAACAAAAAGCACTCTCTTCTTCCTCTAAATAGATTTTAAAAAAATACCATATTTTGATTATCTAAAGTATGGAGAGCCAAAAATTTAACTGATTTCCCCCAGCAACATCTGAAAGATTTGAATATATTAGTTTCTTTTTTCTAATACACATATATGTACCACCAAGAACACTAATTAATCTGTGAATTATTTGCACTTCTCATACAGCTAATAGTATAAGCTTAAGCCTGGCATTAAAAAAAAAAAATACACAGATTAAAACAGAGGGCGGTGCAGTTCCTTATGGGAAGCCATCTGAACATCAGCGCTCAGCACTGAGTTTTGCCCACTCCTTGGACGTCCCCTGTCACTCCTGGGGAGCTCCTGGCTCTGTGGACCCATCCCAGTGCTGCCCACTGATCCCCCCACCACCACAGGGGTATTCGTGCCATGGAGCAGCCCTCTGCCTGCGGCAGGTTGACGAGGTGGCCCTGCACGCAGCCAAAGCTGATGTCCCAGCTGAGCTCATGGGCAGGCTGAGGGAGGGAAGGGCACAAAGCCCCACGCTCACATCAGCCTTGAGCTCAGCAATGGGCACAGGAGGGACGTGCAGGAATTCCTCCCGCATCCCGCGCGAGCTCAGCCCTCTCCTTGCTGAGGGCTCACAATAGGACCCCACGTCCCCACGATGCCCCAGGAGCTCACAATGGGTCAGCATGTCCCCATGGAGTGGTGGTGCCACCAGGGGCTGAGCATCGCGGCACGGCTGTGGGGCGCTGAGCATGCAGAGCCTCAGGGTCCCTATGGAAAGATGCGGTTCCTTCTGTGCAAATAATCCGCTCCCTGAAAGGCAACTGATTATTTCCAGATTACTGTCGGTCCCAGCATGAGTCTCTGCCACCAGTTTAACAGGTTAAAGCCAGCAACCCTGGGTTGGCAAGAGCAGGGGTCCCCTGAGTCAACCAAAGGCATCCTCTAGTGCGTCCTAAAGCCTGAATCATAGCCCTGAGCAGAGCTATGGAGGTAGAGTGCATCTCAGACAGACACGTACATACACTGATAAAGAGAGATATACGCACAGATATACATACACATTACAGAGTGGCCCAGTCCAGCGTTCACTCAACGTGATGGCCAAGATCTTGCTGAGTTCATTAGGGCTGGGGACAAACCACCGCTGAGGACCACCAAATGGGGTTCTGGGGACAAACCACCAATGAGGTTCCTCTCATTGCCTACAGAACTTAACTCATGCTGGACAAAGTAATCTGACTTTCAGCTTCCCAGCTTCCCAGAATTTTTCTGTTTCTTCTTCTCTAACATTAATGGATTATTATGATCATCCAGTTCTTTCATCCTGAATTTCCTCCCCAACAAACTTAGTCATATATGCTTTCCGATCTACCTCTTCCACAAAAGTCTCTGCAGCCCTGGCTAACCACCCATCTGCCTTTTGAACATTACAGTCAGATGACAAAATCAAAGTGAATTTTCAACCTGACTAGGAGAGGAGCAATCAAATTTCTCCTTGCATGGCATTGGAGAGCTTGGATTTGTGACCCAGACCCCATGGACTCAGAGGTTACCATTGGTGCAGAGCCCGAAGCAACTCCCAGTAGAGGAGGCTCTGTAAGCATTTTTTTTTTTTTTTTTTTTTTTTTAATGGAAGGAAAATAAAAATGGCAAAGAAGCCCACGGCACGTAGCAAAAGGCCAGAGTCTGTTCTGTTCCACGCAGCCCAGCCTTGTGCCATGGGAGCTGAGCTCCTGTCCCCCGCAGCAGGTCAGCATGTGGCTGCCCTGTGCTCAGAGATGGATGCAGAAAAGCTCACCGTGGAGAACAAAACAGAGATAACAGAGAGGGATCATAACCTGTTTCCTTGATGGCTGTCCCACTGTACACCGAGACCCAACCAAAGGCCACCAGAATCATTCCAGGCGACCCCAAGTCCCCACCTCACTAACCTGCTCACATCCCCACATCCCCCCAGCTCAGGCTGCCACTCTCCCAGTGCCATCTCAACAGAAATCAGCAAAGCCAAAGCAGTACTGGGGGCAGAGGGCATAACTGCAAGACCCCAGGGACTGGCCAGTTCTGCACAGCACATTCCCACAAGCTGAGTCAGCATCTCCACTCCAACTTCAAATGCTGGAAGATGCAACACAGCAGAAAAGCCATTTCTGTGCTACTTGCCGTAAGGATGTCCTGGTATTCTGTTGGTTATGGATATAGGAAATCAGCCACTCCTACAAAGAGCTGCAATAGGAAGAAGATCCAGCTGTGCCCAGATGGGACACTGGACATTTTGTTACTTTGATGGAAACGGAAAGGGGAAAATGCTTCACTTGCCAAAGCAGTAACAGAGCAGTGCTGGGGTCTGCTAGGAGAAGTGACTCAGCCAGGGAGTTTTCAAACTCATGATCACCAATGACAAAGCAGAGCTAGAGATACACCATTAGGTGGAATGGCAGAGGAGATGAGAGCACTCCTGTAAGGACAGAATGACACACCAAGAATCAGTGGGGCTGCTGAAAATCAAAGCAGATGGGAGATTTGGGATGTCACTGTGAAAGCCCCAGAGACTTTTATTTGAGAAACAGCTGATTTGGGGTCCCCTGAATATACAGACTTCTGTGCAACATGCCTTCCTGAGGCCTGAGACGTTTTTTGAAGGCAAAGCAGGAGCAGGGAGAAGTGATACTGTCCTAATAAAACAGAGATGGAAAGAACTTTGACTCTGCCCTGGCAACTGAATTGAGCGATCTGCAAAGTCCTCTACTGTCACACATATGGCAGCCACAGACCCTCAGCTTTAGAATGCCTGGGTTCAAGCTTTAGCATCTTCCGTGGAAGAGCATTGTTGCAGGAAATGGACACAGGAGCAGGAAACCCTGATGAAGGAGCCATATATACTAAGAGAAACTTTCAATAAGGACAGCAAAAGGCTGCTTTTACTTCTTTCTGTGGCATAAGGTTAAGAAAGCATTGTAGAACCTGAACAGGAAAAACCTGCAATCTCTATGAAGAAATATGCTATCATTTAACTTACTGTGCTAACTGGTGAGAATGAGGGCTGCAAGAGGACAGAGATGCCTGCAGAAGGAAGACGAGTACCTGGGACCACATGAAGGACAGTGGTCCCCACAGTTCTCCAGCTATGGAGGTGCTGGGGTTGAGCAGGGATTTCTTGTGACAACGCAGTCCCTGATACAAGGGCAGGTGACCAAGATTTCAGCCTTCCTCTGCTCCCAGAGAGTATTTCCCTGCTTTAATCAAGTTGAATGGAGGCTGCCTTTGTTCTCACCACACCAACTGGGACCCTGAGTGGGGAAAAAAGAGACATTCTGGCTCGTTGAAACATGATCTTAGTGATTTGATTCATTTGGCAGGGAGTGGATGGAGTGCTATGGAGGTTCTGCTTGCAAAGAAAAAGCTCAAATGAAATACAGGAGAAAAAAAAAAAAAGAGGAGTAGGGGGAATAAAGGAAGGATGAAATTTCTTTCCTTTACTTGGCGCTGTATCTGCACAGACATCTTTGGTTGGATTTTGTGCTAGGAGAAAATTAGTTTCTGGCCTCTGATAAGCTAAAAGGCACAGCAGAAAGTTTCATCTGCAAAATGCCAGACCACTAAAAACGCATTTTCCAATATTTGCAATATTTAAGCTAAGTTTTGAGATATGGGATGGAAGACCTGAAAGCCAAGCAGATGATCTCCACAGATCATCAGTTTTGCATCCTGGTCCTTAAGAAAAAAAAAAAAATAAATATGGAGATTCAGTCCCAAAATTACTTCTGTTAAGAACTTGGGGAAAAGAAAAGAGGAAAAAATCCCAGAATTCAATAGTTTGAGAAGGACAAAAAGTCTCCCAGAAGCATCCCAAACACCAGCCCTGTTGCTTTCCCTGGGACATATCAAGCCATAGAAACTTTCCTTCAGGTCAGATTTTTGGCTGGCCTTGGAAGGTGCTCACCACGTCCAGAGGGCACCCAGCGGAGCACGCTCTGCACGTGAGGGGAAGCAGGGCAGGGACTGGGCATCACTCAGAGAGCGAGGCAGGGCTGGGCTGTTTCTGCCATGCAGCTCAGTGCAGTGCCAGAGAGCCCTTCTGTGCCTGGGAGATGCCACCTTGGTGACACGGCGATGGCTCTGTGCTCAAAGTCACCTCCACGTTGGATGGTGGTGGCACAGTCAAAGCAACACCACCATTGGCACACCTAAAGCCTCTCTACACCATTCCAGCTACAACTCCAGCAACGAAAGGGGAAAAAAAAGCAGTGTCAACCAAAGCCTTGCTGTCACCCCAAATGAAGGTCTGCAGCCCTACCGACTGCTGTCCCTCTGCCCCACAGCCTCACTATCCTCAAAGCCACCAGGCAGACTGCAAGGAGAGATGATTTAAGGTCCAGCATTACACGTAGATACATTGGACTGCCACAGCACAGAAAAAGCACATTAATACCTCGATGCTTCCCTTGATGGTGCCACGACATGGTACACATACATACACACACACAGATCTACAGGTAATGCATGGGGATGGCGTGTTGGCAGTGATACAGACCTTGGCGATGGTTCGGGCTGCTGCTCTTTCCTTTAAACAGAAGCAATAGTACATTAGCATGGTGTCAGGTGGCAACAGATGTTGCTGCTTCACTGTTAAAACATAACGAAAAGACAATACCAAACAGTACAACTAAGTGGAAGTTGTGGACAGAAGAGAGGGAAAGGAGTACTTCATTCTTGGAGTTTCTGTCCTGGACAGGAGATCACTGGAGACTCACACAACCTCAGAGAAGACACATACAATGCACAGGGCTGTACAACTGCTCCCAACCCATCCTTGTGCCTATGCATGACTCAGATACCCCAGGACCGTGTGATGTGGGTGAGAAAGGAGGACATCTGTGTGCTCAGAGAGCAGCTCCTTCCTTTGGAAAAGCACCTCCCCAAGTGATTTCTGCACACAGGGATAGATTGGAGTGTCTTCTGTGAGCCTGGGGTACCTGCTTTTCCCTCCTGGCCAGGAGGAAAAAACTGGGAGGGGGTACGGACCCCTGGCCCCAGATCCTCCACCTCAGCCATCCCTTCTGTCATTGGCAAAGGCTCTGTGGAGGGAGTGGGGACCACAGTTCTTGCATGCAGTTTCCCACTGAGATCCCAAACCACTTGCACTGAAAAAAAACATGGATCTTGAGGACAAAGTGAGGTGAAGACCTGCAAAAGGCTAGGCACAACATCACAAGCCAACCTATGGCCGCACTAAAGAAGTCTCCCTTTTACTGACCGACAGCTTGGTTGCATTTCCCTGCGGTATGAGGAAAATATGTCCTGCCTTCAGCTACTCACACCTCCTTCACACCAGGCTGAAAGAACAGCCTCATCCATGCAGCTCCAGAAGAGAGTGAGCAGACAGTGAATGTCAGCAGTGTAAAGGTCTGCATCTCCTGGTTCCTTCCAGGCACCAGCTGGCTGTTGGGGGTGGGGGGACAAACTGGATTGAAGAGTCTAAAAAAATGCCTTCATCCCCCTGCTCTGTGCTCAGCTCAGCCCCAACCTCACACATTCACACTCAATCTGTAGTCTGACCCGTCTGTGGGACTCCAGATCCCTGCACTCTGCAGGGTCACAGCCCAGGCAGGTGCTGTCCCACCCACAACTCACCAGCTCAGCATCTCCTATCCCCAGGGCTTTGCACTGCCCCTGTCACCAAATGGGGTGAACCACCTTGCTTAAAATACATGACATGATCGCTCCTGAGTGCAGACTGAAGCTGCAGGATGCCTGGGCTTATAAGGCAATTGTTGCTATCTCACCAGAGCAAATTTAGCAGGCATGAGGTGGTGATTCTGGCTGACTGATAGCCTCACCCAGAGGACAAGCAGAGCTGTGCTGAGCAGGACGGTTTCCAAACAGCAGGATGCTCACAGCAATGCTGCAAGTCTGACCCACCACTGCCACGTGCTGTGCTCCAGCTCAGCAGGATCTTTGACTTTTGTAACCTGTTTATGGAGCTATGGGAATCTGGGACACAGTGCTTCAGTCAGGGGAGAGAGACCAAGGGAATATCCTTTTGGTTTTTCTCACCACTAAATCCTGCCTGCTCTTAGGGAAAGATGGAGGGTAGGCAATGAATTAGCACATCGTGGGCCTGAACGTCCTCCGAGGGCAGTGAGGAACAGGAAGGTCAGAGGCAAACCAAGAATACCACCTTGAGCTGACCCTCTGAAAGTACCACTTTGCATTTCCAGCCAAGCATTGTAACGTTACTCCAGAGACAAATTAGGCTGAAGAAATGCATGGGCAGCATGGAAGAGGGGCAGGGAAGAGATTGCTGAGCAACCCGTGGGGATGAGCTGCCAACACCTCTCACATCTTCAAGGTTGCAGACACGCAAAAGGCAGGAATGTGGGGGAAAAAAAAAGAAAAAAAAAGAAAAAAAATGCAGTGAAGAAGTGTGAGCTTTCCAAGCTCTCCTAACTCTGTTGCTGACCTGAATGTCAGTCCCGATTTGCTCTTCAGGTTCCTCAGGAGCTCCAGCTGGTTCAAAGGAGGGATGAGTCTACAGGAAGAGAAAAAAAGAGTGTTAATGTTTGGGCAGAGCTGACCCCAGAGCCTCCTCTCCTGGAAGCTTTGCCTGCTGTCCCCTCCTTTCACCATATCTCAGTGCCACTGACTGCAATGGGGCAGGAACTAGCTGCTCCCAAAATGACCACAGCAGGGTGGTAGGAAAAGACTGGGACAGCAAGAGAGAGAGAAATTGTCCGCTTCCCCGCACTCCTGACCATCAGAGCCTGGCAGCATTTCTGGGCAGCATGGGGGTGCTGTGGCAGCTTTGCTGGATGTCAGGTGAAGAGATGCTCCTGTGCTGGAGGCAGATGGGAAAACTCAACCCCGCTGCTCTCAGGATGTGTGAGATGTATGCAGAGAGCAGCCTGTGGGGAACGGGAGGCAGTGATCCAGGAAAGGCAGAGCGCTACTGGGTGGAGATCCCCATGTTCTCTACTGCCTGCAGATGATTTTGCCCCCAGTAGAGCCATAGCCCTGTATGATGGCTTTCTGGATCAGGAAAGAACCAGGGCTTTCCTTTCTTTCTCAGGCTCACCCTATGACTTGCTGCAAGCTCTGTTCTGGGCTACCAGCACATGCTGCTGTAGGGCTACATGTCATGGCTGTGCTATAGGGTGCAAAGCAAACTCAGCAGCTTTCAATAACCTTGCTTTCAACAAGGATAGGGCTACAGCCCAAAAAAGCACAGCTCCCAGGAGGGGTCTGTTCATTCATACTGGGAAAGGAGCCACAGGGGCTTTGATGGAAGCAGAATCTGCTCAAACTCCCCCAACCTACAGCTGAGGACTGGAAGGAAAGGGGAAGGAATATGGCTGTGACAAATTTTAAGCCATTAAGAGACCAACAGGCTCACAGTTTTCCTCTAATAGGAATAAAAAACAACACCTGGAAAAGCCTTTCCTCTGCACGCACAAATCCCACGCTCAAAAACATGACTGATCAGCAGAACAGATTCAGCGTTCAGAAAACTGAGGCAATCAAAAAAAATGTTCCAATCTTAAAGATGAAGGAAAGAGTAAAAACAGGGCTGAAAAATGTGGCTCTCCTCCGCAGTGCAGCTCTGCACACTTCCACCCAGAGGCAAGCATGCCCTGAGTAGGTGAATTAATGATCCTCCTCATTTGAGGTGTCAGGAAGAGGCTGACCTTTGTGCACTGGAGCAGTGTGCAAGTGCTGGGCTGACACCTCTGTGCAAACCCACCACAATATTTGCAGACTGATGCCAAGACGGGAGAAGGAGGTGCATTAAAATCAAGCACAAAGTGTACTGCTAAATAAAAAGTGTATTCAGCACTTAATGCTGAGTGCACAACTATTCTTCTTTAGAATCATGGAACATCCCAAGTTGGAAGGAAGCTATGAGGACCATCGAGTCCAACTCCCCCTCCTTTATGGAGTTCTCTGCTTCAAAGAGCTCCACAGGATAACGAACCCAATTTCTCAAGCCAGGATCACAAATGCATGGCTCTGATGCAAGTCACAGAGCTGAAGACTTCATGAGCTCATCAAATAGAAGGATTTGAGGTCCCTGTTCGCTAAATAGAAAGATTCAGGATCCCAGTTCACTACATGGAGGGATTCAGGGTCTCAGGGGGACCCTTCCCCTTGCATTAGCCCACAACCTGAGGTCTGCACTGTGCAGAATGTGACAATGTTGTTGGTCAGCAGAGATGCTTCCATGCAGAGCTGATGACATAAGCAACACAGAGACTCACTGCTGCAGCAGTAGGTGTGGGCACAGTGCACACGTGGTGAAGAAAAGAATGTTGTGCTGAAAAGACGATTAATAAAAATGGGCACCAACTCAGACCCATATAGACCCCAAACGTGATCCATAGTGACTGCTCAGCCTAACCTGCCCTTACAAAAGCAGCGTAACTGCTCTGCATTGCATCACTTCACCACAACCTCAAAGGGAAGCCTGCTGCCTCAGGGCTCTGTGTATTTTTCTCTCTCTCCTCCAGGTCCTCGTGCCACTTGGTCAGCAAGGAAGCATGTTTTGGTGAAGGGGAGCTGGGTGAGGTCTGCATGCTCCAGGAGCACACACAGCTCATACCACCACTGGAACACCCAACTGCAACCCATCACCTCTTAGGACCACACATAAAAACACCGCACTGACTCCATTCCTCAAGCCAAAGAGAAGGTACAATTGCTTTTCCTGGTAGCACAGACAACGATCAAGCATTTGGGGACAGTGGGGACACCATGCCTCCAGCCAGGACATCACCGAGACCCCACAACATGAGGAGGGAGGGCAGCAGCACACAACAGAGCACAGGAGCACACACACACACACAACACACACAGATGGTGATGATTTGTTTGAACAGCCCCAGTATGAGCAATGAGGGAGGGGGTGATGAGAAGATGGATACCGTGATGAGGACTAAAACGAGTCTCCATGCTGTGCTGGAGTTCTACAAGGAGCTTATCACACTCACCATGACTTTGTCTCCAGTTTAAATCATTCCTCCATAACAGGGAATACTTATGAGACTTATGAAATATGTTATGATAAGAGCTGGAGTGGAAGCATTCTTATTTCACTTCCAGCAGTAGAAAAATGCCCAGTCCTTAAAGCAGGCTGCTGTCCCAGACAGCACTCGATGTGCACTCAATCACACACTTTCAATCATGGATGCTATTTGCTGTAAATAAACCACACAAAGTAATAAGTGTGATTGAGTAAGGCAGCAAAACTCGCACCCGTGAAAACTGGAACCAGGTTTGCAAATCAGGCACTAAATCACATCTGCGTTAATGCACCTAGTGAGGATTTAAACTGCTCTAAGAACTGAGCTTGGCCCACAGTCTCCAAACGTAAGCCATTAATTCCACATCTTCAAATACTGCCTTTACTGCACCTTCAGGTACCCACCTCATATAAAATATGCCTATCATCTGAAAACCTGCTCTCTTCTGCAGAATCTGAGATAATATTGTTTGTAATAAATCTCACCCCAGCCACATACACGTCTGTTTGATTGGATTGAAAGGTCAGCTCTCAGAAGGAACAACTGGGACTAATAACTGCTTGGCTCCAGGTCAGTTACAGAAGGCAAAATAACCAAAACGTAATTCCCCTGCTGAGATGGGACACTCCTTTTCCAAGCATCACACTGAATTACTGAGGGAAATCGTGAACAATCACTTTGGCTTAGCACACTACATTTGATATCTCATTCTCCTTGGAAAAACAGGCACAGCCACTGCTGCAATTTTATTCTGCACTACCACCAATGTGTCCCGTGGTGCCACCAACACCACTCACACCAGCAAGGGCAGCAGACTCAGAGATACCCAGGGTGCACAGCTCCTACAACACTGAGATAACACTGATGGATGGGAAAAGAGGGCTGGGGAAAGGGCAACAAACATGAGTGATGGGAGAGGAGAAATGGAAACATGAATGGGGAGGTATTCTTGTTAAGAGTTGTATGATTTGGAGGAGGTTGTTAAGACCATCAAGAAATCATCGTTAATAAAGCGAGCTTATCAAGCACTCTCCCATTCTCCTTCCTTAAATCATCATTTTGGCACAGTTTCCCAACACTTGTACAAACCAATAGCTAAAACACGTATGGAGGCACATGGAGTTAGTCAGCAGGCAGCAGGATGGACGGTCTGGTTTGGGGTTTCACTCATTCTTTTGAAAAAAAGAAAAAAACCACCTGACTTTCAGAGCTTTCTGTTTGTTTGTTTTTTTGTTAAAGGCTCTGTATATTACAGTCCCAAACGAAGAACAAGGAGTGACATGACACACGGTTCAGAGTCACATGCATGTCATACCTGGAGGCACCGTACGTTTGCGTTTGCGTGCTTTTCAAGAGTTTTCACCAAAGAAAACCAAAGGGATAAGAGAAAGGAAAAAAAAATGGAGGGAGGGAGAAAAGAAACAGAACAAAGAAAATTAGCACATGAACCAAGTGCACTCTGGGAGCAGGTGAGCTGGGACCAGGCTGTGGGTGAGCATCAGTGCAGGCTGAACTCGCTCCCTGCTCCTCACATCACTGCCACCCATGAGACAGGCTGCTGGCACCTCGCTCCCAAAGCAAACGGGCACCACGGGGCAAGGAAAATGCAGGGGGACTCCGAGAGATCTTCAGGGAGGAATCCTCAGCCCTCAGTGCAACCAGCCAGGGGCTCCTTGGACCAGGAGGATGGCTCTAAGGAGCTCCAATGTTTACTGAAACGTGACATTTCAGTAACTATTTTGGAGTGCAAATATATGAACATAGCTGAAAACAACATCCTGTTCTCTTGAGTGATTATAGAGTAATTTTGGGGGTCTTGTTGTTGTTTGGTTTTGGTTGTTGTTGTGGTTGTTTTTTTTTTTCAATATTGGTTTTGTTTTTATATATAGGAGCCAGATGTATATTGCAGATTTGCTTTACCACATTTTGAATCTCAACAACCAAGCTGAGATGCTCTCAGAGTCCACCCTATTTTCCCCAGCAGAGAGAAACCAGCTCTCCTGCAGTGCTCTGAGTGATGCTCTGGGCACACGCATGCTCCTCCAAGTCATGGCTACCAATTTTCCCCACCAAACAGCTCCTCTTTTCAAAGGTGCCTTGGGAAGAGACGTAAGCTCAAGTCATGGGGCTCCTGCTAGGAGGAACAAGCAGCCCAATGTTGAGCAGAAAAGGTGCTAAGGCAGCAGTGACTGCAGCTCACCTCTGGCAGAGGGGATGCTGTGTCCCCCTACCCAGTTCCCAACCACAGCCTGCAGCTAAGCTGCACGCAGCAACCAACACCATGGCATTGGGCTCAGGGTGCAGCTGTTGGTGCATGCCAGCTGGCTTGGAGAAGTGGGTAGGAAGGGTAGATGGGCAAAGTGAGAGATGGAAGCGGCAGCCAGAACATACAGTTATCCCCTTTTTAAATTAGGGGACAAGTATTCTGAATGATTTCAGTTCAACACATTCAAACCAGACTCAAAAAGTTCACCACTTGCTTGGTAAAAAACAAACAAAGAGCTGAAGCCATCAGGGCTCACCTCTCTGGTGATGATCAGGTTACCTGTGCACAGATAGCAATTGGAGTTTTAGGGTGAAGCTGAGAGAACAGAGCCCCATGCCCAAGGAAGTACTGGATGCTCTTATCCTCGTGCCAAAGGGTGCCCCTGTATGTCTGGCTGCATGCTAAGTTTGGGATTTTCAAGAGCAGTATAACCATGACCAAGCCCACTGAAGCCAATGCTGGCATTGTGTGCTCTGCAGAGGGCTTTGGGCCAGGTCCTGCTCCCCTCAGCAGCTGGTCCCAACCAACGCAGAGGTGGGACAGGGAGAGTTGGATGAGTGGGTTTTAATGCTATTGGGAAACAGTTTGGTTCTGTTTCATTGAGTTGTTGCTGTTTTGTTTTTTTCTTAAAGCAAAATCTTGATGTCAGTTCATAAATACCTTTAGGGAACAAACAACCAATCAGGCACACACTGGGAACGAATCCAAGGACAACTTACTGACCATGACAATGTGAATTCCAACAGGCTTCTAAAATGGATTAACAGGCTGGCTAACACTTCAAACATGGACTAATGCTTGCCCTAGGAAATGCATTTGAATGGCTAAAAGGCACCAGTAACACAGAGGGATTTTGCATCAGCACGGGCACAACCCAGAGCTGGACAACAGCTCTGCACCATAAGGACTGGGAGCACAAGCAGCCCGCCACATCGTGCCCCCCAAAAAAACCTCACAAAGCTGCAGGAATATCCAACCAACACCATCCAGAAAGATCTGGGCAGTTTCAAAACACGCCAGAGAGGAATGCACAGCACTGCCCAGGCAGGAAAAGGGACGGGCAAGGAAAAAAGGAGAAAAGGAAAGAGGAAAAGGAAATTGAACCAAGGCCAAATGCACCTGGGGACGGCACCAGGGCAGCCCAGAGGGACAGAAGAGTGCTGAAAGGCAGAAGGACCATTAGAGCCTGGTGGAGCAGCACGAATTGCTGCACGCAGGGCAAGGCAGCATTTACCTAGGTCCGGGGCAGCTTGGAGTCTTCACACCTGGGCACGGCACTGTCACAACACAACGCAACTACCCCGGGCTTGGAGAAATAAAAGTGAAAAGAAGAGCACGTACATACACACAGAGATGAAAAGAAAAAAAAAAAATAACAGGGAAATTAAAATTGAGGCCAAAAGAAACACAAAATGAAACACAGCCAAAAAAAAACAAAAACAAATAAACCTTGAAAGAAAAGACATATTCTGGCTTTTAAGAGATGTGGAAATCTTTTTTTTTCTTTTTTTTTTCTGAACTTAAATAAATAAAAAGTTCAAATGAATAGCAACTTAAATGAATAATAAAACTCTACATCCAGGTAACAAACATGGAAACATTGCACCACGAGGCAGGCAGCACAAGGAGGAAGTACCTGTACATGGGGACGGTGACGGTGCGCTCGTAGTACTGCCACGTAGAGTGCAGGTCTGTGCGGGACAGGTTGGTAGCATAGAACCTCCATGCAGCCTGGGAGGAGACAGGATGGAATGGAGGTACAGGCTGAGTTTCATAAACTTCTACCAACACCAATTCTCTGCTATCTGTGGGTCTGACATTTTGCCTTCTCTTTGATATGTGACAGATCTGGGATGCTACCATGATGCCACCAACCTATTTGGCACGTGACACATCTGGGGTGCGACCACAGTGCCAATGATTTACTTGACATGTGACACATTTAGGGTGCTACCACGATGCCACCAATCCATTTAGCATGTGATACATTTGGGGTGTGACCATAGTGCCGATGATCCATTTGGCACATGACACACTGGGGGTACTACCATGATGCCACTGAGCATAGCTAAAAGATGCTGCAGGTACCAGGCACTCGCTGTCAGGAGCACTACTGCTGTGCATTGGGGAGCCACAAAATTTGGAGAGAAGGGAGCAGAGGAGTGTAAAACCACTCTTCAAGCTATCTGCCAAGGCCAGCCTTCTGTGCAGACATCTGTTAGCATGAAGAAAGTGCTCCCAATTGTAAATTGGTATCAGTATAAATATTCTCTTCGGAAAAAAAAAAAATATAATTGGTGAAACAGACTGTCCCAGTGTATTTGTCTCACTGTGCTGGGCTGAGTTTCATTCTTTTTCTCCCCCAGACTGCCTTTCGCATATGCTGCATCCCTATGGCTGCCTTCCTGGCATTTGTTCTCAGACAAGCCCGGCCACCAGCTGCTGTCTCACACTTCAGACATGCAGCACCGTTTTTCTCCTGCCCTGCTCCTAGAAGTCCATTTAGACCTCAACATCAGGAGGATGCAGCCCTGAGGCTCCCAGCTCCTAACCTGAATCAGGCCTGCTGCTGGGTTGCGTCTCTTCTCGAAGTGTTTTTGCCGATGCTGCTCCTGAACCTTCAGAGCAAACCCTGAACCTAAAATGCCCTGGGGAAAAGAATGAAATTGTGCAGTTAGCAGGTGTTAGACAAGCTTTGAGAGGTTGCAGCCAGCTTTTGTTCCACAGCTTTGTTCTATCTCATTTTTGCTTCAAATGCACCAGGAAAGGAGCAAAGAGCCCTCAACCAAGGCAGCCCCAAATGTGGGCTCTGTTGGTGCTCGCCGCTTTGGTAAAAGCAGCTGACAAAACAGGAAACATCCATATCATACAAGCATGCAGCAAATCACCCCTATGAGGGAAAATCAGATCCGTGCAATACTGCAATAGGGAGCAAGGTGATTTACTGAAATGGCACAGCCACCCCTAGGAACAGCAGCAGGAATATGGTTTCACTTCAATAAACATTTTCCATCTCATTTGTGAATAACTACATCCACGTTTTCCATCCTGTTTGCTCATATGCACCATGGCTGTCCACACAGAGTGGACACTTTTTTTTTTTCTTCTTTTTTTTTTTTTTTGACTCAGAAGCAGCCAAACAGTTGAAGCCAGGAGTTCTTCAGGCACGTGAAGCCACAGGTTGGTGGTAAACAGGTAATAACTCAGCCCCCCCCACTGCCCACACTCACGGCAGGGAGAGCGAAGAAGGAAACACCGATGAGTGTGAAGGTTGCAGCCAGCAGTCGCCCATTCCAAGTCTGTGGGTACTTGTCCCCATAGCCAATGGTGGTCAGGGTGATCTGCAAGAGGAGAACCCCAACCCTCAGTCACACTGCTTTCTACTGGAAATCACATAGCTTGGGTTGGAAGAGACCTTAAAGCCTTTTCAGCTCCGACCACTATCATGGACAGGCACACCTCCCATAGACCAGGCTGCACAGGGCCCATTCATGGCCATGGGCACCTCCAGGGATGGGGCCCCCACAGCTCTGGGCAGCAGTGCCAGAGCCACACCACACTCTGAGTAAAGAATTTTATTTTCTGTTGCCATTTGATCCAAATCTCCTCTATTCTAGTTTAAAACCATCCACCCACACCTTGTCCTAACACTATCTCCCCATGTAAAAACTGCTCTTCATCATTTTTTAATAAGTACTGAAACAAAATACTAAAATAATAATAACATAAAAGCAATGCCACCAAAATTCCCTGAGCAGATGGTGGGGAGCAGACAAGCTCGGGGGCCATCCTGCCTTCAGCACATCTCAAAAGAAATCAAGGTTATTTGCACTCATAAGGATCTGATGCTGTTTATTGCCCATTTTCCCAGCAGTGCTTATTAGCCAGTCTCCCCTCCTACTTAAAAACTGCACATTAGCCCAACAGGCTGCTTTGTACAACCTAATTTAGAGGCATTTTTCCCCTCCTCAGAATTAATGTAATGTACCAAGAGAGGCTGGCAAGCTGTTCTGTGTGTTTTGGGGAAGGAGCTGAGAGATCTGCTGGAAACAAATAATCATTGAGCTTCAAACTGCAGCAAAAGGTGATTTTTCCTGCTTCTGTCCAAGAACCTCACAAATGGAGAATGCTGGGCCCTCCATCAAGAATTGAGAAAAAGTTTGGAGAGCCTGAGACACACAGGACAGGGAGGACCGGCACGATGGGACGTCCTTATGGAGACTTCTGCCCAAAGGACCCAAGGTCCCTCACCCTCAGCCCCAAGGACAGAGCTGTCTCCAAGGGTGGTGGAATCCTGATGGAACTGACATGCTGTCGGAAACCTAACGCCTTCAGCCTGGAGCAAAACTGTTTTAATCAAATGGAAGCCCAATCCCAAAGCACCGTTTAATAGCACCCACTAAAAGCCTTATCAATTAGCTGCCATTTTGACAAAGCATTTAGTAAAATGCATCTACATGGCTATTCTGTGCTGAAATACTGAGCTGAAGCAACACTCACTCCTTAATCACCGCAAAGTTGGGTTACAATTTTTTACAATCTATGGAGACAACTGCAAGGATTTGGAGCCACTGAGATGAAATCAGGATACAAGCTCCTGAAACCGACAGCTGATTTGTTCTGCTCATTTCTTAGCATGTCTGCACTGGACGTGTGAGCCGGACAATGACAAAATCTGCTCGTTTTAATGAGGCTGAAATGTCACTGTCAGATGGACAGGAGCAACACCACGTGGTGCTCCAACACCTCCTGAAATGGGGAATGAGGTGGGATGCTCTGCACGCAGCTCTCCAGCCCGGGAAGGGACAGCTCTGCCCATGGCTTTCCTCATGCTGAGCTCTGATCTGGGCCGTCGGCTTTCCCCCTTTGTTTATTTCCTAGTTATGTCAAATTGGGCTTTGTTTTTATTTGCTGTCATAACCAAGGGGCTTGAAAAGCAATTCACTGCCTTAGCAGCGTCTCATTCCCTTTACTGAAGAAGAGGAGCTGCTTGATCAGCCTATTCCTCCCCAAGCCTGTTATTGGGATTTGATCAGATCTGGGATTTTCATTACATGCTTTGTAACCAAGGCCAAACCAGCGCTGCAGTGCCAGAGCAGAAGAACAATAATGCAAGGAGATTAGAACATCATTAATTCTCCCTTTGTTAATCAACTAATCCAATAATTCCCACGCACACACGGAGCAAACTGAAAGTACTGCCCTTTCTCTTTTGTCAGCAAAGATTTGCTTTCAGCACTGAAGTTTTCCTGGTACTTAGAATGCATTAATTGCATGAAACATAGTCTGGTGCATTTAACAGCTCAAATATGCTGATAAATGATGGAAAGGTGGCAATACTTATCACAGTGATGACCACGAGGCTTTTATTAGATCTGCCACAATGGAGCCAAGTCCAACTGCTGATCTTCTCTTGCTGTGCTGCCCCAGGTAGCTCAACAAATGCGATCCCATCGCATCTCCTACAAGCCTTATTTAAGAAATCTAGCTAAATGGAATAGCCTGAAGCCATTTAATAAAAATGTTAACTAAGCAGTCTGTAAGCTGATTCCTCAATAAGTGATAGAAGATGGGGGGTTAATGGACATTTTATTTTAATAACCAGCAGCTGCTCTACAAAAATTACTTACCAGACCCCACCAGAGTGCATCTGCGTATGTATCAAAGTGCTCATTTTCTCCTTTCTCGGCCAAGTATACCAGGAAAGAGGCCAGGATGAGGCAGAGGAAGCCAATATACCAGGCAGTAATCAGCTCCTGCAAGATCATTAAGGGACAGAATAGAATAAATGCAATCCTGGTGTGCATCTCCGAAAGCTGAGCTGCTTGCTTGCGGTTGGCCTCAGAGCTGAACTTGCTCTGCATCTCTGCATGTTTAGGCTTTGGGTTTCGGCTAGAGATCAGAAGTGCTGATTTTCAATGTAGTGCAGAGAAGGGACATCTGAGATGGGCCCAAGTGCTAGTGGTGCCCTGCAGCACTCGCAGGATGACCCCCCACCCTGCAGAGCACATCGTCTGAAACACCTCAGCAAGTGGAAAGGGAGCAGCTCCAGTATTTAAAGATGTGGAACAGAAATGAAAATATAATTACTTCTCCAGCCCACGCATAAGTTAAAACTGAAACACGAGCCCCCAAATCTGCTGGCTAATTGCTAACTCCATGAAATGAGCTCAGTTTGCAGGTGGTCACCGTGTTCAAGGCATTCCCTGCAAACATCCCAACATCCCTCCCATTTCTGTTCTGCTGGCTGGAGGGCTCCACAGGACCTTGCATTCCGCACATCACCACCTAGTGAGTGCCCTCTCCATCCTCCCAAGCCTGGAAGATGTTTTGGGTGGGGAACCAAACCTAGGCAATGAAAAGAGGGGCTCCACGTCCCTGCTGGGGCTCACTCACCTTGCTGTGCGCGTAAACCACGGAGCCCAACAGCTTCCAGGTGCCACCCCGCCGGTCCATGCGGATCATGCGCAGGATCTGCAGGAAGCGCAAGCTCCTGAGCGCTGAGGTGGCAAAGACGTTGCCCTGGGAGCCCGCTGCCAGCACAGCAATGGACGCGATCAGCACCATGATGTCTGCGTGAACAAAGGGCATTGAAAGCTGGAGACGTGCTGCTGGAGCACCACCAAAGGGGATGGCACTCCCACCGCCACTGGCAGCAGAAGGATGTGTGTGGAAGTGCTACCGTAATACCTGCTACCAGAGGGATACAGCAGAAGACTTAACTGGACAAAAGGAACAGCTAGACACCTGATGGAAACATTTTGGTTTTCTTCTCCACACTCATCATTCCCAAGAAAACGTGTTCAATGTCACTTGACTGCATTCTGATCCAGGGCTAGGCTGGGCTAAGTCCTTCCTAGGCAAGGCAAGGACTTTTTTAGCTGCTGTGACACCATGCTGCCTAGAGGTGTGAGCTGCCCTGTCTAAACACCACTAAACACTAACAATAAACACCATAACAACCCCAGGGTGCTCGAGGGAAGAGCAGGAGTCCAAGAAAAGAAGTCATATGCTATAAACCCCAAACCCGAGAATCACAGAAGCACAGGTTGGCTTGGGTAGAAAGAGAACTCAAAGACCATCTAGTTCCAGCCCCCTGCCGTGGATAGGGTTGCCAGCCATCAAATCAGGTAGTAGGTTAGGTTGTCCAAGGCCCCATTTGACGTGGCCTTGAGCACCTTCAGGAATGGGGCAGGATCCTGAAACCCTCCCTCTTTCTTTTGCTATGCAATTTTTATGAATGATTTTCTGTGCAATAAATGAAAATCCCATGTGTGACTCTTGCTACTTGCTGGACACGTGAAAGCAGGCTCCATGGGGCATGGCATGGCTCACCTGTCACTCCTGACCCCAAACAAAGCACCCACTGTGCTCGGATGGCCCCTTGCACAACAGGAGAACCGAGTGCTTTACAAGCAGGAATTAAGTCTCACAATCCCCTTGTGATGCAGCTCCTCAGCACCCAGGAGGGCAAAATGAGACACGGAGTGAACAAACTGATGGAGAGGTTGGGCAGGGACCTCAGCTCCTCCCTTCTCTTCTCTAGGTGAGTAACAATCCCCAAACTGCAAGCAAGAAATTGCAGCACAGTGCAAGCAAGCTCTTCAATAGCCATCTTAGGTTGGGAAACCCCATGCAGGAGGCAGGTCTTACCGATGACACAGAAAGGCTTGCGGGCAAATTTCAACCTTCCTCTCCAGCCCCGGTACCGACAGCAGCAGCCAGCTGCCCAGATCCGCACAAAATACTCCACCCCAAACACCACGATGGTGACAATTTCCTGGGGGAGACAACATGCCATCAGCCTAGAAGGAAACGTGGTGAGCGTGCTCCAGAATTAGAGATCCAGTCCAACAGCCTAAACCCTGCTCTCCTATGCAATGCAGAAGTGCCCCACAGGACCATGTGATAGAAAGCCCTATTTTTGAGTGATGCTCAGACCTTTGCTGCTGGGTTTTCCCTTTCCTGGGCAGGGGATGAGAAAGAGGAACAAAGCAAAAACAACAGAAAAAGTTCAGGAAAGAGGTTTTAAAATATTACATCAGAGCAAATATTGTGCTCAGATTACTCCTGAGTGCCCTGATACAGATTTCTCCTTTCCTTATTGTGGGTTCCAACAGACACTAACTCTTGCCTGAGTTAAATATCCCCAGTCTTAGGGGTAGGTGTTTTTCTTGTGCATTTTAAACTTTATTTTGATGTGATACTGCTCACTTCGTTTGCAAATCCCAACTCACCAGAATATAAAGGGCCCCTTCAGAGCTGTTCTGATACTCATCGATGGTTGAGAAGACAGACAGCACCAGGCAGGAGAAAACAAGTAGAAAACTATAGAACACAAAAAATAAAAAAATACAGAGGGACAGAACATCAGTCTTCAGAGCAAGAACTTTTCACACTCGGTCACACGGTTTGACATTTACACACAGGAGCATTCACCATGCTGTGTCTTTAACACTGTCCCTTTACAAGGATACCTCTAACTGGTGATGAGGAGATAAGAAGTGACAGCAACGAGGCCACCAGGCCCATGCAATCACACTCGGGATCACTCTGCTGATCAGTCGCAGGGCTCACATTTAACATTGGAGGAGAACCAACCAGCAAAAGGGAACCTGGATCCCTGATTCTATGAACAGGAAGGGTTGGGTGCGGAAGGACCCAGTATCAGTTTGGCCAAGACACCTCCATTTCCAGCACGTGGCTGCGATAGCCTCTGAGATCCCTTCGACGTTATGTCAGCTCCAACAAACATGGAAACACTCCATTGCTACATCCTCATACAGGAAAACTTGGCAACTCTTCAGATTCAATTCCACCAGCTGCCTTCCCAGCATCCTTGTCCACACATTACCAAGATGGGGATTTAACAGAGAAGGGATTTGGGTTTTGGGTGGTGCTGTGTGAAGCCAGGAGGTGAACACAATGATCCCTATAGGTCCCTTCCAACTTGGATATTCTACAGTTCTGTGATAAAACGCACACGGAGGCTGCCCCTGCCAAGAGTCCTCTCCACATGAGCACTGGGTGCACCAATGCCCATCCAAAGGCACTGATGGGTGGCAGCAGCTCCACTCTCTGCTGACATTTGATGCCAGCTCTGCAGCCGTGGAGGTGTCCTGGCACCTGCTTGTGGCCGGAGCAATCCCCACCAACCTGCCATGCCCGCTGCTTACTCAAAGAAAAGAAGGGAAATTAATTTGCTGCAGATCAATTTACTGAAACAATGAAGTAGGCCAGCACGGGGAGGAACTAAAAGCTGCGTTCTTTCAAAGCATTAAATAATTCATCCGTCTGGCTTTGTCTCACATTCCTACAAACTGACTTTCAAATATTTATAAGGCACGGTCGGGCTGCCGGGTGCAGCTGCTTGGTGCTGTGTAAAGAGAGGCACTGCAGGGCTGTGCCTGCGGCTTCTCAAGGGCCATTAACATCACAGTGCTCAGGTAGAGAGGGGGAATTGGCAGTTTATTTATTCTGACCACAGGCAGTGCTGAGTCTGCTGGAAGGAAGGGACCTTCAGAGCCACTCCACAAGGGCTGAGCTTTGCCAGCAGCAAGTCCCATTCAGCACAGAACAGCTCAGGACAATCTCCTCATTTCTCCCTTTCTGGTACTCAGGAACCTGCAACAACCCCAAAAAGCAAGGAATTGCCCCTTGCAATCCCACTCATCATCACTCTCACCCAACATGGTTCTTGCAGGCTGTGCAGTGAGAGGGAGCTGCAAATGGGTCAGGCAGTCCCGCTCCTGGGGTGGCCCAGATTTTGGTGCACACTCCCACATCAGAGTGAGAAACAAATGAATAATCGATGAAAGAAGAAAGAGAAGAGGGGGAAAAATAGATCGTGGGAAAGGATGGGGGGAAAAGAAAATCCTACATGTTCTGATTGAAGAAATAGGGCGTGGGTTGTGTTTCTGGGACTGAATGTCACAATAAAATGCTGACAGGTGCAGAAAGCAAAGTGCTGACATCAGAGCAGACATGCATACCTTGTTTACTAAGGTGGATACTTCAAATGGATCCAGAACAAAGACATGCTGAAACAATGAGTCCTGCTGGGAATGAATGCCAGGAGAAAGAGGAGTCCTGCATGTTACCTCTGTCATTAGAAATGTATTGATAGGGCAGGAAAAAAAAGAAAAAAAAAAAGGAAGGAAAAGACATTGCTCTATCATTTCAACAAGAGCTGAAAGCACTACCCAATAGATAAGGTTCTTTGTACAGATGTGGTCCAACATGCCTGCTGTTGAACATCTTCCTTGTGCCCTGTGCAAGCTGTGGCTGTGCAGGGTAACCAGGGCTGCTCCATAAGCAAAACCCAATAGGGTAGCAGCTCCCATCCCTCTGCTCTGTTCCCCCACAGGAGCTCAGCCAGCAAGTGAGAAATGGTCTTGCCACCATAGGATGTGGGTACAAGCACAGCAAAATAGCTCCATGGTGATGCATGGCTACTCTGCTCAACTCCAAGGTTCCCAAACCTCCGAGAGGCTGAAAAGTAGATTTCAAGAATGAAACATTTTTTCCACTGGATTCATGGAGTTGGGGTTTGCTCCTGGAAAGCTCCAAAGGCTCTGCATTCCCTCTTTGCATGGGATGGAAGGAGAAAGGTGAGCCATATCTGTGCTGAGGTGGAGAGCACCCTCTGACCTCCCATGGAGGGCAGGCAGTGGGAAGTTGACTCTGCTTTCATTACATCTAATCCATCCAGACAGTGCAGGACAGGGCTCCAGCTCATAATGGATAGCAAGGGAAAGGGAAACAGGCCAATAAACGGCATAGAGGTTGGGATGAATCTAATTTTTAAAGCTACATATCTAATCAAAGCAAATTATGTCTGCAGCCTGACTCTGGGTAATGTTAATGTGCAATAAGGAACGTTAATTATGTCCCTTCTAATGATTTTTACATTAAAGATGCCAATTCTGCTTACAGCTGGGCAGAAGACAATATCCTCCCCCAAGACAGACAGGAGCTGGGCCCCACACAGCAGAGCTAGCAACAACCTCCCCAGACTGGGCCAGGATGCAAAGGACAGCGAGTGCTGCTGCATCTCCATCCCTTCCATGGGTGACAGCAGGGACACAGCTGGCAGCAGCCTGCTGAGGACAGACATTTCTTGAGTTGCTTCCACCTCTGTGCGCAGCCAAGACTCAGCTGTGCAAATCTGACTTCTGCAAACAGCTGAAAAACCCAAAGTCCTCCAAAGTTCGCCTTTCTGTCCAAAGGTTCATAGAATGGCTTGGAAGGGATCTCAAGGATTACGAAGCTCCAAATCCCCCATCTCAGGCACGGCCACCAACCTCTATATCTAATACCACACCAGGCTGCCCAGGACTCCATCCGACCTGGCCTTGAACACCTCCAGGGGCATCCACAGCCTCCGTGGGCAGCCTGTTCCAGCACCTCATCCACTCTCTCAGCAAAGAAAGGTTATGTCAACTTTAAACACCCATGGCAAGCTTCTTATCCTAGATTATTAACGTTGGCACGAAACTTCCTTATCCAGATTTCGTCTCCACTGCATTTCATATTAGCAGTACTTCTACTGCTAATATGAAGAAATGAGTGAGCTCCCACTCCAATAAACAAATAAGCAAGCAAATAATGAAATAAAATGACTTGAAATGCGAAAGGTATTTTTTTCCTCTCTCTCTGTTTGCTAAAAGTAAATAACAGAATCCTTATGAATCTTTTCAGATTATTAATCTCATTTGCCTTCTTAAAGGCACTCCCCTTGGAACCTGCACACCCACTTACATGGAGCTCCAATGGATCAGCAGCAGTGGGATACCAGGATGTGTCAGGGATGGATGTAATGCAAGGAGGTGGCACAAGGCAATGGGCTCTTTCCTTGCTTTACTGCCTTCCCATGGAAGTGGGGAAGGAATTAACGATTTGCTTAATTAGAACAAGCAAAGCTGAAAAGGAGGAAGCATTTTACTCCAGGCATTTGAGAGCCACACAATAGAAAATAACTTAAAACACTTGAAAATGACTTTGGGGACATAAATAAGGCATTGATAATTGTGCTAAAATAAAACCAAAATGCTTATGGGCAATCCAGCCATAATCCCAGCAATCCATTTGCAGTGGTCTCTGTAAGATGCTGGCTTTCAAGTTTCCAAAACTTGGATAAACAGACTGTAAAAAGCCTTTTAGCACTCAGAACAGGAGTAATTATAGCTAAATTTGAATCTCCACTGAATCAAAACTCTGACCACACCATGGCTGTCCAAGGGCTTATGATGATGCACGCTGTCCCTGTCCTAACCAGGAGCTTCCATCATTGTTTTTCACATAAAGAATTCCACAGCCCAGCTACACATTGACAAGGCTCAACACAAGCCTCAATGTCCCACTCCAGGTTTCCAAATCTCTCAGCTTCAGCCAAAAATCATCACCCAAGGTGACTTGTATCTCCAGCAGAGCTGTGTGACGGCAGCGTGGCACAATAGGAGATGGGTGTTCTCGAGTAGATTGAGTTTTTTAGGATCTTCTCCGATACGCCTGCACAGCTACAGCCTGGGGAAACGAGGGGAATAAGGTTTCCTTTGCAAGGGACATCATTTTCTGTTTTTATAGGCACATGAACAACACTGCAAATGTTCTTGTTTGTAATGCAAAGAGCAGGAATGGCCTCATCTGCCTCAACCCCCCAGATCCTTGACTTATGCACAGCAGGAATTTGAGAAGAAAGGGATTTTGCGCGGCAACAAAGTTTTATGTATCTCCACATTTACAAGCAAGATTGACCATAGAATCATACCATCATTAAGACAGGAAAAGACCACTAAGATCACTGAGTCCAACCATACAACCCATCCCACCACGTCCACTAAGCACATCTCCACAGCTCTTGTACACTGAAGAGCTTGAGCACATAAGAGCTTTCCCAGATGGAATCCCCAAAGAACAAATGTGATTCTGTGAAATGCCAGCTGCAGAAGATCAGCGATAGAAACCAAGAACTGAACTGAATGTTTACAGCAGGAGAAAGGGCAACATTTCAGCAATCAGCAGCCTGTTTTATAGACTTGCCTGGCTCTAATTACTTAACTTACTCAAGGCACCTAAAACTCATAATAAAGCCGCATTGCTGATAAAGAACGCATACCAAGATCGAGCTGAAACCTTCCTTTCTGTCCTCCTCCAGCTTGAATCACTAGGAGATGTTTATCTACACGTTCTCCCCGCACTGTGCTGCAATCTCAGAGCGGTCAGAGGTCTGGAGGAGAACCCAGAGCATTCATCCATCAGTGCACCTGTCCATGGGCTCTGCACTGCAGGGCTGAGATCAGCTGCAAAAACCAGGCAGGGAGAAATAC